GCCACACGTCTATCGATCGATATATATCGTTATTGAATTATCGCCCAGCCCTAGTTAGAAAGTAGCTGCTTTTGCCAGTAAAGGAGATGATTGTTTTTCTAAAATGATTAAAAAAAACGTTATTATTCCATTTATATTGATCTTTATATTGAAGCAGTAAATTTACTCTGCCATAAAGTAAAGTTGTAATGATTTATTCGCCTTTTATCCAAGAAGATGGAGAGTTACTTTATTTCACTTTTTTTGATAAATGAGAATAAATTCTATATTGCAATCACTAAATAAATTATCTATGTAGTATTTTAATAATTGTATTAGTTTATTCTGTCTTTATATGTTTTGTTTGTTTAAAATACCCTGATAAATACTATTACATAGTTAAATTGTGTATATTTTGAAGTGATTGTAAAATAAGGTATTCATTTTATGAACATAATTTTATTCAATATTCACATCAATTAAAAAGAGGTATTTTTAAACATTGTGTTGAATTATTAGATAAAATAATAATTGTATACATGTTTGTTTGTTTTTTTTCTTTATTTTAAATTTGCTTGTAATCAGGAAACTTTCTGGAGAATCCCAGAAAACATGAGTCCAGCTCAGCTTCACGGTGCAGCTGCAGCATTAACTCCTGGAAATGATGAACCTGAAAACCCTACGGAGCAACAAGAGCCCAGAGATTCAGCAGGAGATCCCCAGGAGCAGGAAGAGGAGGACGACGAAGGGGTCTCCAGTGAACAGAGAGCTCAGGCTCTGAGAGCTCTGCTGCTGGCACGCAATAAGAAGAGCCACACTGCAGTGGATAAAGGTAGGGATGGAAACAGAGCTTCATGACTTTGAAAACAAAAAGGTAAATATAATTTTAGAATTAAAACCATGGTAAATATAAGATCCTTAGAAACATTGACGCTAATTAATAACCTTTAATAGATCTACAAAAGAGCTGCTGATACCCAGCCTCCCTTAATTGTCTCTGAAGTGAAAGCATCTCTTTGAAGTTATTTATTATAGAAATAAGACGAATTCTTATTTTTTTAATCACCAGAAGAAGCAGGGCCTTCCTATCCTTGTTTAATATACCAACTAAAGGTAGAGCAATAAATACATGGGCCGGATTATTCTGTGTGGATGATTTTTTTCTCCTCCTGTAGCAGTATCCATGGATACATGCAGTTCAATGATTAATTGGTGCATTCCATAGCCATACTGTCAGATCAGTGCCTTCATTGCCTCCCTCCATTTTTCTTTGGCTATTGTTTAAATTAAGACTTGTGCAAATTTTGCTCTAATTTTGTCTGATTGTTATTAGAGCCGTGCAATTAATTGAATTTTAAATGTAATCATTTTAATAAAACATAATTTTTTCACATTACAATTAAATAGAGTAAGACGCCCTTTAGCTGGCGGTAATACATTTATAGTGGGTTTGTTGCCACAGTTTTTTTTTTTTTTTTTTTCTTTTTTTACACTGATGTTAATATAATTGTGTTGTCATTGGCCTTAAAAAAAATTTAAAATAAAAGAAGCTTTTACCGTATTTAAACCTTTTACATCGTAGATGAATTGATTTTTTTTTTTTTTTTTTTGTGATGTTGATTTGTCTTCTTTTTGTGTTTTAGATCCACTGTTAGATGTAACTCCTGGTGGTGACCCAAACAGTGCAGCGGAGAGGTAGGTTACCACGCCCTGTTGGGTATTTTTCAAGCCTGACATACAAAAAAAATTTGGCAAAAATGCTTGCATACATTGGATAAGTTAGGGGTAGGTTTATGAGCACGCTGAAGCGCGCTGGTAATCGTCAACATATGGCGAGTATGTCGGTATGTCATATGTGGGGCATAAGTTGCAGGTAAGTTATCTGATCGTTGACACACGTTAACAGCAGCTAGGTTTATCCTGCAATCAAAGACATCTTTTTGTGCAGACGGGGTGCCTCTGGGCGCCTCGCAGATTGAACTGATGCTTCGTAATGCTCATGAAATGACGCACAAGACATAAGTTCTTGACCCGTTATGAATACTCTATATAGATGCCCAAAATTGAAAAAATATATAGAAAGTTCAACGTATGCCAGCGTTTTAGGAGATTCTGTGACGTGTGGCATACCCTGGCTAAATCGGCAAGGTGTGACAGGGGCCTCAATAAGTAGAAATAAAGCTGTGATTAAAAGTTCTTGTTTTTTCACACATTTGTTCTGATCCAACAGGTCCCAGGAGAAGATGTCAACTAAAAGAAGCAGACCCAGGGTGTTGGATGATGAGGATGATGATGATGATGAGGAGAAAGGTATGCTCATGTTAAGAATGTTAACAAATGCTGTTTGAAAAAAGACCTGATCGTGGATCATTTCAGAGATTTCAGAGTGAAGTGGAATATCAGCTGTGTTGATCAGACCTGTGGTTCTATGATTTGATGTGAGCTGCAGAAGTTAAAGTAGACTTATGTTCCACAGAAACGCGTTATTATCGAAAATATTCTGTGAATCAATTCAAGTTTGTCGAGGCATTTGGAAAGTTTGGTGTAATCTGCTGTCTAAGCTGTTTTTACTCCCACAGTCAGAACAATTAATAAATTCCTCATTATCGTTTTGATTTGTCAAAGCGACCATATCTGAGTAACTTTGACCTCATTTCAACAGAGAACGATTCAAGCACTGCCATGGATGTCGACACCATTAAGGATGCAGATTCCGACGGGGAGGATTTCTCTGCTCCCCTGAAGCGGAGGAGGAAAATGGTCCTAATTGATGATGAAGATGAAGATTAGTAAAAAGCTTTAATGGACTACAAACATGGGGGTCCCTTGAGTTACTTAAAAGGGGATTCAGTCCTCTGAAGGTCCTGAAAGCATACCAGATTATTCGAATAACAAACAACTTGTTTATAATGTAAATATATATAAATCACTAGACCATCTTCTCTGTTTAGCTTTTTAGTTTCCTATTCTCATGTTTTGTGATTTTGTAGAGTTAAGCTTTCTCTGCATGGTTGTAAAGAATATACTTCTCTGTAAGCTTTTTCACAGGTAGAAATGTTTGTTCTCATGTATATTTGTATGTATCAGACTTGAACTGTTAAATAAAACAACTTATCAAAAATAAAAATGCCCGATATTGTGCAGTATACAATTCCAACACTGGGGGGCAGATTTGAGTATACCCTCACTATACTGAATGAAAATAAAAGATAGCTTCTCTTGATTGGTTTATGGAAAAGAGCAAACTAACTTTAGAGTGACTTTTTTAAAATCTCTTGACTAATTGTCTTCTTTTTTCAGCTTTTATCACATGTCTGGAGTCACTGCTTATAGTGTTCATGTGTTGGAGGCGTTGTGTTGTCCTAACATCTGGACTGCATTAGTAGCTTCCTGTCAAAGCATCTGCTCTGCCTCCAACTCAGATTCAAAGGAGGCCTGGCAAATGCTGTCATTAAAAGAGCTAATTAATGGATCCAGATCATAAATCTACTCAATCGATGGTATATCGCTTATTTTTTCCTTTTGAAGCGTTCATAGTTTATGCTAAAGCCTATTAGATAAGCTGAATATGCAGCACGATAGCTCTCTGTGAATAAGAAGGCTGCAAACTGAATTGTCCACATGTGAGGACTAGCAATAGTCATGTGAAGCTTTAGGTGAATAGACTCAAAAACATGGAACAGCACTTTTATCTTTGGTTTAAGTTAACAGATTTTTGTTAAAATCAGTGTTTAATTTAGATACCTACTAACATTCTCAAGAGAAAGAGATTATTCTGTACGGTCCATTGCCAGAAGTACATGTTCCATAATTTTTTTTATCATTTGTTACGTTGCAACTTATAATTGTTAGTATACTTTGTTGGAATCTGAGGATATAGAAAAATTAGATATTCTCAGTTTGCATTTGGGATTAACCTCCTAGAGTCTATTCTTTTATACCCAGTCATGGGTTTGGGGTGTTTTTCTATTTGCAAATGAACTTGAGCTCACTAAGATTGGATGGAGAGCCTGGAACAGAATTTCATTTGGATATAGGTCTGGATTTTGACTGGGTCTACTCTGATTTTAACAATTCTATAGTTGCTCTTTTTGTATATATGGGGTCGCCCTGCGAGAAGATGGACCTCTATTCCAGGTTCAAGCGTTTTGTAGCCTCATAGCTTTTTTTTTTGTTTTTTTATTTCCATGTATCATCTCAATCTGATCACATCCCCCTTTCCAGTGTCTGTTCTAGTGACCACCAAGCCAAGGTTGCAGACTTCTGATCTGACAGAACTGTAATCCCCTTAGTACAGCTGAAGCTTAAAGCTGACTCTCATTTCTAAATAATTAATA